ACAAAAAAGTGTGTTTGCAGAAGACGGCACCGCGGCCCAGTTGATACAGTGAGAAAGAAGAGGGAGACGAATAACCGCACGACAACCAACAGTGGGAGATACGAATAAACAAAGAATTCAGGATGCACTCTAAACGCTCCGCAATAAATATATATATAATAATAAGAAGGGCCTCACGGCAGTAAACAAACTCCACTCCAATTTACCGTATATCTTCCTCTGGATCAATATCGGCCTCCTGCTGTTCCTCTCCTTGCTGTTGTTCGTTGGGTAATGAAGGATTCGGCAATGAAGACGACGTCATGTTAGTCCTTTGCGGGGCACTGAATTGAATCTTCAGTTTCCTTGACATCCTTGAGATGTCGATGGTGATGAACTGCAATGTCTGATTCTTCATGGCGGCTCGCAGCTGTTCCTCATCGCGCTCCTCAAAGGAGGAAATAAGTGCGTTTGCAGTGGCCTCCTCGTTTGATGTGGAAAATCCCGGAACACCCCTCAGCTTATTCATCTCCTGTCGTGCCCAGACATCGTCCCCGCATGAAAGACACAAGACGGTGATTTCTAATCCGGCCTTTGCGGAATTGTGCGGCTGAGCAAGCCGCTCAAAAACCCCCTTCTTATGAGGATCTGCGCGGATGCCAAGTTGTTCCTCCAACACCTCCACCGCGCCCTTAACATCCCCGTTATGAAGATGCGTTAACATCCAATTGCGATAAAGCTCGGATAACTGCACCGCAACAACAGGCTTATCCTCAATGTGCTCCTCCAGCACACTTACACCCTCACGAAAGAGTCCAACAACCTGCTGCATTCTTTGCTTTACTTGTGAACTGCCCGCCTCCGTTGCGGGCAAGCCCGTCACAATTGTCTTTGTCGGATTAATAATTTCTGCAGCCTTCTTCAGGCAATCCGCCTGCCTGTCAAACATTTCGTTAAATGCGTAAAGTTTGGACGCATCACAATAAGACTCAACCGCATTATTCAAGAGGGACGTATCATCTGCCATGCCTTTCCGTGACTGCTCTGTCAGAAATACAGCAAGACTCTCCATAGCCCGTGCTGCAAAAAAATTGTTTTCTGCATTTTGGTGCGCCCCGGACGCCTTGCGCCAGGCGTCAGTCGCCCTGTTTGTGTCCTCCAGGTGGGTGTATATCCTCGCCGCTCTCTCATACTCGCTCGCCGCGGCGTCCCAGTCGGGTCGTTTAAAAAATTTCTTTTGTGAGTGCTTTTCGGCGCTCTTCATCAGGGCGACGGCCTCCTCCGCGCTGCCGGCGGCCATCCGAGACGTTCTTCCGGAATGTCCTCTACTCCGCTGCTGCGAAGCAACACGGGGATAAAAGAGGCAGAGAAGGAAAAGAAAAGAAAAACAGAGCTGCGTGCGCGTGGAAAAAAAAAAAAAAAATTAACGTCCTCAAAAGAGACATGCGCAGAGAAGACACACAAACGGAGAGAAGGAAAGAAGGACACACACACACACAAAAAAAAAAAAAAAAGGAAAAAACACCGACAAATACAAAACTTTTTCTTTTCCTTCGCAATTTTTCGGCAACCCCAAACTTGCAACAGATTTATAATCCGTTCCCTCTTATTTTGACTCCCTTCGAATAGAGTAAGAACAGCGTTGCATTTACTGGTCGAGCCTGGGGAGAACAGAAGAAACCCGTCAAGCGCATGGCATATCTGGCAGAAAACAAAACAAAACAAACAAACAAAAAAAAAACACTTGGCACCAGCCACAAGGTAATCAACGGACATCAACTTGTATTTGTACTTATGCAAATGGATGTATGTAAATAAGTATAAAAAGAGAGAGAGAAAAAAATAAATGAAAATGAGGTTTACTCACGTCATCAATCCCGTTCACATCTCTCACCGTTTCTACAATTTTCTGTTATTTTCCCCACATACACACACAAAAAAAAAAAAAAAAAAAAAGAAAAAAACATACATTTGAATCCCCTCACCTTTTTTCCCCTCCTTTTTTTTTCTTCTTCTTCCTCCACGCATGCCTTTCCAAGAAGCACTTGAGAAGAAATCGAGCAGACAGTTAGGCTCGTACCCGACAGGACACCGGTTCTAACAACAAGCGCCTTCTCCCTGGTCCCTTTCTCATGAACCGCATCTCCCTCTCTTTTTCCTTGCCACTCTGCTTCTCTACATACATATCTATCAATCTATCTATCTATATATTTAACAACCCCTTTTATTTTTAATCTTCAATTGACGTTCCACAAGGAACAACAAATAAATATTTCCAATCCTCCTGTATGCACTCAATTCATATATATATATGTATATTTATATATATGTATATTTATATACAATATAAAAGTACTCAAAAATGAAGAACTGGAAAACAAAAACCAATCAATAAATAAGCACAAAGAAATCACTATATATTTATTTATGGGTTCTGCACACAAACATTGCAAAAGGAAATCAGCCAAGTTGCATCATTCCGTTTCACTGACGTTCAATTTCGCTCAATTTCTCTCTTTCTAAATTTTTTATTTTCTATTCTTTTTTCAATAGATTTGCACCAGCCATTAGAAAAGCAGGTGGCCATTTTCCTTATCGTTGGCGTCCCTATCGTTGGGCGTCACGGGGGGCGGGGAGATAATCATTGTGGGACGGAAACGCACAGGTGGAAGAGCCTCTTCCGCAACAAAAACGGGCGAATGATCCTGCAGAAAGGAATTCTTCCCCACCGCCACTAGTTGCATCTTCCTTTTCGTCACCACAATACCGCCATAAGGGAGCATCTTTGCCTCATTTTTTTTTAGTTCTTTTTCCCCATCTTCTCGCCTCGGCTGCGAACGGTACAAAACCGTCACCAAACTTTTGCCGTCACTGTCATCGTCACTGCTGCCGCTATCGACACACTCCACGGCGTTTACTCCCTTATTCGGCGCAGAGGCCCCGGTATTCTCCTGTTTGGTCCTCGCATCCACCCATCCCCCACCACGGCCATTATCCTCCTCATCGCTCCAGGTGACTATTTTCATCGGCGGTTCCCTGTGTGCAGTCGCATCGGGGGTTCCTTTTCCGTTGGCTTCCGCGTCCCCATTCCACAAGTAATTATCCCCGGCGTCCTCACCATCAACGATCTGATCGTCAGTAAACACCAAATCGTACTCAACAACATTTCCGTGTGCATTCAACGTACATTCACCGCCAACCTGCCCAGTGGCTCTTGCGACAACTTGCTGTTGTTCCCTCTTCAGACTCTGTCGAACAATATTCGCCAGTGCATTGCCACCACTGCCACAACCATCACCACCACCAATGCTACTGCTGTCATCGCTACAACTCTTATTTGTAATGACAATATCGGGTTGCACTGCTTCTGGCTTTTTATTTTTTGCACTATCGTCGGACGGTGCATCTTTCTGCTCTTCATTCGCCTCAAGGACAGGATTAGTTATGCTCTTTGGGCCTTCACCGTCAGATTGTTGGTTGCTTGGGGTGTGTGAGGGTTCCGCATCTGTGGCCCAGAGAGTCTTTGGAGCAACAACAGTGGGCAGTACAATAGTACTTGACACCAGACCTTCGTGTCCGTCCCTTGCTTCCTTGTCCGCCGCACTTTCATCGTCCTCACCCTCGTCTTCACTATCACTGTCACTTCTCCGCAGTCGCATTGGTGGCGACGGGGGCGGCACGGTGACTACGACGCTTGAAGTAAATCCAGTCGCCGTCTTCTCCGAGTACTCCTCTTCCTGCGCCTCACTGGGACTGCTCCCAATACTACCGCTCTCAGAAACGTGCTTGTCATTTAAAGCCAGGGAAACTCTCTTGACGGAACTGATAAATTTTCCTGGTTGAATTGGATCGCAGTCGATCACTGGAGAAGAAGAATGCGGCAACTCCTCGACCGCATTATCCCTCACTTCTTCGGGATTACTGTATATGTCTGCTTCTTCCAACTCTTCACAATTAGCAACTTCTCTCTGGTTCTCAGTTCCCGTGTCAAGCGCTGTGGCAGGGCTGCGGGTTTCCTCGTTCTTTTCACCAGCCACTTTTGCCCTGTCTTCCCCTTCGTCGTTGTTCATTTTCAAATCTCGAAGGGGGGCTAGGGCAAATTTGTCATCACGTTCTTCTGGGTCTGCGCTGTTATAAAGAGAAGCATGCGGTGATTTTGACAACGGCTTTTCGACATCTTGGGCTTCCAATTTCAATGAGCTCTTCTGGTACTTCTCTAAACCACTCCTTTTCCGGCCTGTGGTCGCAACTTTATCCAGCGACGCCTTGCGTAATCCACAGCAGTTGCCCATCTTACCGCCTCTGGCTTTCCTCTTGTTTTCTTCGTCTCCTTATTTACTCTGCCTCTGTGCTCTTAGTGGAAAGTGGAGTACACAGACAGGAAAACAAAAGAGAGAGAGAAAAAAAAAAAGGAGGACTAAACGCTTCGCCCGCGTCTTTTTTGTCTATCCTCTCCTCCTACAAGTTATATGTATATATGCGTGCGTGCCGGCGACCTCTGTCCATAAAAAGACGTAAATCAAAAATAAATAAGAAAAAAAAAAAGACAGTTGAGAGTTATAAAAAAATTCTGCGGCTGCTTTCTGGGGTTGTGTGCACTCCGTGGTTTGCGTCCAGGGCGCGCGTGATGATCACAGCTGCCAAAGGAAAGCATGAGGGGGGATGCAAGAAGGGAAAATACAATAAATGAACAAATAAATACAGGGTTCATGCCGGTATCTCCCAACTAAGAAAAAGACGACGTGATTTTGTGTGAGTATTCGTGCACACAACGAGAGGCAGTCTTTCTTTCCAACCATCGCTTCTGACACGGCAGGCCATGGAATTAAGCCAGTTGGGTCGGTCTCTAAATGGGTAAAATAAGGTAAACAACGACAACAACAATACACTCAAAAAAAAAAAAAAAAAACCGACTTCCTCCACTGCAGCCAGCACGCAGGAAGGGAGCATTAATCGCCACACGTACAACTCATCCCAGGATGACAGCCCCGCCCACACACATTTTCTTTTTTGAGAGGCTCTTAGCGAATAGCCTTGGAAACACCGAAACGACGGGAACGAGAGACACTCGTTCCTCCCTCGCGACGCTCCACCACCTTGTGGTGATTCTCATTGCCATTCCCAGGGTTCAACACGCCCACAAAAAAAGGATTTGAATTTCTCCGTGGTGCAACATAATGGCTGCCAACTCCCTCCTCAACCACCGGCAATTCCCCGCCTCCTCTTAAAAAACTTCTGCTGCCAGTTTTCTCTCTCTTACTGGCCCGATTGCCGTCAACTCTGTTTTTTTCCCCCAAAGAAGAGCGCAAATTGGCGATTGGCGTTGCCGCCGAGGATGAGGAACCTCCCACCAGAATACTAAAACGTCTTCGCTCCACTGGATTCCGGGAAAGCGCATCTTTTTTCTTTACGTCAACGCCAATAATGTTTTTCCCACCACTACCACCAATATTACTACTACTACTACTACTACTACTACTACTACTACTCCATGTAACGCTTCCAGGCCCTCCATTTTTCCGCGTGCTCCCCGGTCTTTTTGTTAGATTGTGAATCGAGTGTATTGATGGAGTTTCACTATCCCCCTTAGACGGAAGGAGATGCAGCTGGCGACTGGCTAATTCGGGTATTTTTTGACTTGGATGTGTCTTTAAACCCTCTGGTGGCATTCTCGTTTCATGTGCAGTTGATGGCCTCGTCAGTTCCTGAGACTTGGCATTCCCACTTATATCCTCCGCAGATGCCAGTTCCTTTTTAAGAAATGGGGATAGGGTTATATTCCTGTTCGGATGCTCCGGTGCAACATCCGACTCGATAAGATGTCCACAATTTAATCCCGCATTCAAGGTTGGCACCGCAGCCGGTACATCCCCCTTTAGCATTGGCGGGGAATCCATGACACTTTTATCATAAGAGCATTCCAAATGGGTATACGGAAGGTTTGCATCCCGGTCACTCACGACATTCTCGGACAAATTTTCACTGTGGACTAGCAATCGTGGAGGTGTATGATGTATGGACTGATTAACACTGGATACCCGGTAGGCAGTGAGAGGCCGCCTACGCTCCATTTCCTTGATGACACCGGACGGCGTTGTCGTGCGTACTTCATGCGGCATGGGACTGATGCGACGTGAAGAAAAAAATGAAGTGGATGGCGATAGTAAGCCTTGGTCGCCACGACTACACCGCCTAACGTCCTGACCCAAAGCAGAAGGTATCAAAGATTCTGGGGGTGTAATTTGCCCAGTGGTGGCATCTACCGGCATCCCTGGAAGTGTTTTATGGTCCAATACCTTTGCAGCATCGTATTCTTTCCGCGATTCGCCGTGATTTGCCACGCAGGGTGAACCACGCTCATCGTAAGAAGGGAAAGAGACAGACGATACATTAAATTGAGTTGATGCGTTATAATCGATAGCATCCTCTGTGGCCTCGTGGGGACGGCGTGCAATCAGCGCGGAGGCGGTTGGCAAAGATGAAGGTGGTGGTGGTGGTGGGGAAGGAGATAATACGATGGGACGGTGACGAGTAAGATCTGTTGCCGCTGTTGTTTTTTTATGCACGCGTTGTGCTGCTTGTAAAGACTCTCGCGTCCTTGCCCCGTCAGCAGCTGCAATCAAGTCTTTATCGGCGTCAGCCCGCTCGTGTCGTGCAGCACCCGCACGAAACAATTGCACAAGCTCCTTATCCAGCTGATGACAGTAATTGCGCAGTCGAATCACCGCGGAGACATCCTCAATACCAGAAACGGTTGGAAAAGAAAAAGTGCGTTTGGGCGCAGCCGCATGAAAGTGAGATTCATCTGGAGGTCTGAAGACGCGGGAAGCGGCGGGAGTGGCAGCGGTAGAAGCGGCATCATTCACAGCCAAAATGTCCAGCTTTTGTTCCATGGGTCTGGAAACATCACTTCCTTTTTTTTCACCGCGGTGCTTCTCCTCCTCCTCCCTCTTTTGGCGCACTTCCTCCTGCGGCGATGGAGGTGATGTGCCTCTTTCTCTTACAGAATGGTGACCCTGGTGATTCCTCGCTTGCTCCTCGTGCGCCGAATAAGAAGAAGATGAAAGGGATGATAAGCGTCCGTCATTTTTTTTTCTCCATCTTTTGTCCGTCTTCGTCGTCGTCGTCGTCGCGATTGAATTCCCGGTGTAGAACAAAGAAATATCGCAAAGTTTTTTGCGGCTGTTCGATTTTCTTGCAGACAATCGAGGGCTTCCTACTGAACGTGAAAACCCCTTTTTTTCCGAGGCATCTCCACGGCAACAGAACGTCGATGCTGTTGGCGTATCACGAGGCAATTCCTTACCTCCACTAAAAACAGGGTCCCGATTCACCTTTCCATTCATCATGGACTTCGGTGGGGCAAATGTGGAACCTGAGACTACACCCACAACTACATTTGCATCGATACTGTACGGATGATCACCGAACGGCTCTTGCTCTTCCACGCCAAACGTTGCACCACTTAATGGTTTTCGCAATGTCTCTTCTTGCCGCGAGAGATAATCTTGCCAATGGCAGCGTTCCTCCTTTTCTAGTCTCGGAGGAGGAGGAGGAGGAGGCTGACGAAAAGACCAAAAAAGTTCATCGTAGTCACGCTCCAAGCGATCTGCTTTCTTCTTCAAGTAGTCTATAAAGGTCCGGTGCGCGGCCGTGTCTTCGTTGGGGAGCAATCCTCGGTCCGCAATCCAACGACAGAAGCGCTTCTCATCATCCCTGATACCGCACAACGATCGGTCTCCCCGCTCCAACGTGTTGAGGCTGGCGCCATGGCCATCGGAGGCCCTCGCCAACGGAGATGGATCGCTCTCCGTGCAAAGACCCTCTTCTCTTTCCGCATCAATTCCAATAAACTCCGGTGCCTGGTTACTACAAAGTCGGGAAGCTCGGCGTTGGTGAGCATTAACTTCTTCCTCAATATCGCCGTACAATCGTGAGGCCGCAAGACAACCACAAGAACTTTGCTGTTGCTGCTGCTCCTGCTCTTGATGATGATGTTGTTGCCAGGGTGAATTCCACGGTCCTTTCTCCTCTGGAGATGCTTTACTTCGGGCTGTGCAAGAGGATAAAGAGAGTCCCGTCTCATGTTGTTGCTGAATTCGACTAAGAAGCTCCGTCAAAAGTGTGATTGAGGGTGCAGAGGTGCTAACACCACGCTGCTGTGGTTTTTGCGATAATGTGTTTTTTCGCCTCTGTTCCTGCTTGCTGCTGTTGTTGATGCAACTCTTGCTGGCATCGACGCAAACCGGCATCGGAGACTGTGGCAGCGGAAAGAAGGCCGGTGTTTCAGGCGTACCGGATGCCTCTTTCGAGAGACCTTCCTTTGCTCCTTGCCGCTGCGGGAGAACAGGCGATATCCACAGTGGTGCCTCTTCATCCTGATTCTTTTCCTGTTTTGGTCTCCGCCCATCAGCACCGCGGGGTCCCACACAAAACTGAGTTTGCACTTCGCTGTCGCTAACTGCAGTGCACCAACTCTCCCCGGGCAATTTCATCCGCTCTGGTTGACGCACAATGTATGTGTATGGTCCCATCGAACAAAGCGCATTAGACAATTTAAGAGACGCTGAAGAGCATTGACTCGACGGTTGGTATTGCCTACAAGTTTTATCAACCCCTTTGCGGCGGTTGCCGCAACCATACTTCGGTCGCACTTTTATGGTTGCATCCCCTCTCGAAACCATAAATAATAATAGATCGATAGATGCAGAAAGATGATTGTGTTCTTATTTACGCCTCGGGCCTTCCCCACGTTCCCTCGCTGTGCTACCCAGCGCCACCCTCTGCGCGGCCTATCTTTTCTACATGTGGAGCAAAACACACAGTGAAGAAGCGGTGCAGCAACAGCAAAAAGAAGGTCATTAGGATAAAACTCAACGTCATCCGCGCTTTCCTCTGACCCTCATTGTGTCCTCATTCCCATCTCTCTAAGTCTCTCACACACACACTCTCTAGCTCCATCTCACACCTTTTTTTTTTTTTTCTTTGCCCACACACCTGAATCAATTTATGTCTATTAACCTTAATTTTCTTTATAATATATATATATATTCTGTTACTCTTCATCATTTGCCGCGCTTTTACAGATCAACCCCCTCAGCATTTTCTTCTTCTAATGATAATAATAATAATAATAATAATAATAATAATAATAAACGATTGAATCACCATTTAATGCATGGTAGAGGTTTGAGAGTGACAGGATAGAAAAACAAAGAAAGCAAGGATAAAAATCGGCGACCAATGAACACGGTAAAAGCGATACCATCACGTAAATATGGCAAACAAACAAAAAAAAAAATAACCAGAGACGTGCTGTATGTATGGGTGTGTGTAGAGAGAGAGTGAAGCGCAAAAAAAAAAAAAAAAAAAAAAAAAAAAAAGAATGAAAAGTAAAAAAAAAAAAAAAGATGCAAAAAGAGAAAGAAAAAGTGTGTGTACACATGCATGCATTTCTGTTTTTTTTTTGTTTGTGTCTGTCTGTCTGTGTCTGTGTGTGTGTGTGTGTATGTGTGCGTGTGTGTGTGTGTGTGTGGTAGAAATGCTTTGAATCTCTTTTGGTTGTAATACGCACCTCGTCTCTCTCTCTCTCTCTCTCTCACCCGTTTTCTCACTCTACTTAAGAAAAACCAAACTGCACGGACCTACGATGCAAATAAATATCCTTTGCGTTCCCTTCTATTCGGACAGCCCTTTCCAATATGAGCCGTGTGTGCATCTGGGCGTGTTTTTTTTCCGCTAAATATATATATATATCTTCTTGGTTCGTCACTCCTCTTTCCTACTTCCACTTCTCAATTTTTATCTCTTGCGCCTTCCTTCCATCTCCCGCTGCCGGCGTTGGCGGGCATCCTCCCTACGATCCTCGTACCGATCGGTATTTCCTAGCCCGCTGCTGCCAATCCCCCCACCCCTGCCACGTCGTCTCTCGCGCTCCTCCTTTAGAACATACCGTCCTCTATATGCGTCGTTCGAGACACTACTGACGTTGGCGGCGGCTGTTCTCTCCCTGCCGTGCCCTCGCTCACTCCTTCTCTCCCTCTCCCTCTCTCTGTCGGATAATTGCCGGTGGTAGCTCGAATCCTCGTGGCGGCGATGACGGCGTCGTCTCTCTTCATCCTCCTCTGGGTGGTGACTACCGCGCGGTCGTCGCTGATGCCGCCTTGCCTCTTTTTCATCGCCCCTTTCGCGTTTTCGGCGTCCGCTGGGGTCTTCATCACGCCTTTTCCTTGACGTTTCATCGCGTCGAGGACTGCGACGATGAGACTTATGGCGACGGTGAGTGCGGTGTCGGCTATTGTTGCTACCGCTCCGGCTGCGACGGCGACGGTGCGACGAGGTTTTCCTTTTCCTGCCATCACCCTCC